TGGGAGGGGAGCATTAGCACAAGAGTGGGAGGGTACAGAAAGACCAGAACTTGCCCGAACACAGTACAGCAGTCAGGGAAAGCCTTGTGGGAAATGAAGCTGCAGAGGTATCACAAGAGGTAGGGAAGAAACAGAAGAGTCTTAAACCATGGGGATGTGATCAGATTTGTGCTTGGAATATATCAGCTCACCTAAGTTGTGTAAGATAGATTGAGAGGCAAGGGGACCAGAAGAGGCAAGATTACAAGGTAGGAGGCTTTCATAGCAGTCCTGGCTGGAGATGAAGATGGACAGATTACAAAAGGAGAGAAATATACTGGCTTGATACTCAGGAGGTAAAATCTGTAGATCGACGTGATGTTGGTAAGATATGGGAGGGGGAAGGTGAGGATGGGACCAAGGATGACTTCCAGTTTCTAGCTTTGGGCAATTTCATGGTTCACAAATGCATCTTGCCTGCCTTTCATCTTTCACTTTGTCCATCTGACACCAGTCTTGTGTTCATTCTGCTTCAGGGTATGGGATGCTATCCCCAAGAGTGGGCAAAGACCTGATCTTAATTCCCCAGGAGGATAACTGTGAGACATTTTTCTTTCTTTTAGAAGACTGTACTAAAGTTCAGGAAAAACAGAAGAGAATTATAACACGGAGAGTAACTCTAAACTCCCCAGAAGTAACTACTTTTGGAGCCTGAAAGCCCACACTCATCCTTATGGAGTCTATAACAAGGTGTATCACTACTTAACCTAGAAAATACCACCAGGTTGCAAGGGTAGACTTATATTCACCAATGGGAGTGATTTCACACATGTAGATGCTTCTTGATATTAAAAGACCCTATCCTCCAAAATTCTGCAATAAGGCCATGTCTTTCTTACCCTATTATAATGCCCTTGTTTCCTTTCCCAAGATTACCTTCTTCCCATAATTGACTCTGCAGCTGACCCTTCTAGTGGTAAAAAAACAACCTCCCAGCAAAAGGGGTGTCATCTTGTCTTATGATCTCAATAGGTCAATGAGATGGGAACACAAAATCAGAACATTCTGTGATATTCGGACTTAAATCACCCCCTGCAGTTAAACCCTGGAGTGGAGTGTGTTATGAGCAGATTTCATTAGCTTTCTTTGGCTGCAATGTGGATGATGGACTAGAGAGAGGCAAGACTAGGTATATGGAAGTGAGAAAGAGACTTCCATAGCAATCCCAACATGAGAATATGAGAATTTGAACCAAGGTAGTGACAGTAGTGGCAGAGAGACACAGAAGAAGAAAAAATCAAAATCATTAAGGCTCAATGATTAAGGCTATATACATCATAATAATTAAGAGTCAAGGCTCTGGGGCTTCCCTGGTGGCGCAGTGGTTGAGAGTCCGCCTGCCGATGCAGGGGACACGGGTTCGTGCCCCGGTCCGGGAAGACCCCACATGCCGCGGAGCGGCTGGGCCCGTGAGCCACGGCCGCTGAGCCTGCGCATCCGGAGCCTGTGCTCCATAACGGGAGAGGCCACAACAGTGAGAGGCCCGCATCCCGCAAAAAAAAAAAAAAAAAGATATACACACCTAGAATCAGCCACCAGCTCCAATGTGCCACTGCATAGAAGCTGGTGCAATGGGAAAGCTTGAAGGTTTGTATGAGAAATGAAATATCTGATAGAATAGGTAAAGAGAGTGAGGGTTAGGAGGCAAAGATTTGGTTGGAATAAATTGATAGTGAGGAGATGAAGCTGAGTAAGTTCTCGCCTCATGGGCTAGCACAAGCCCATGTAAATTAGGAAATGAGGGCTTTGCTGAGAGGGAGCAAGTGGCGGTTGGTATCTAATACTGGATTGGAAGGAACAGATAATGTTTGAAGAAAAAGTGGTTGTGGTAGGAGAGTTGGACAGCGTTGAGGTCCCAGTGATACTGAGACCAGGACTTTGTATCAGCACCATTCTGCAGTCACATGGATTTTTCCAGAACTTAGCAGCGCAGAAATAAAAATTATTATATTGTTCTTAGGTTAAAATTTTGCAGGAGAATGTGGAGGGTGGGCAAGAATTCAGGGGAGCAGTGGGTATTGACAAAAGCATGTTTAAAGTGATAGGCTCTGACGTCTAAGATGAAGAGAGGGAAGAGTAGAGCCAGAAGCATCGATTCAACCATTGCCATTGAAAAAAGAAAGTGCCCTTTTTTTTTTTTTTTTTTTGGCTGTGTTGCGTCTTCATTGCTGCGTGCAGGCTTTCCCTAGTTGGGGCGAGCGGGAGCTACTCTTCATTGCGGTGCGCGGGCTTCTCATAGCACTGGCTTCTCTTGTTGCGGAGCATGGGCTCTAGGCGCATGGGCTTCAGTAGTTGTTGTGTGTCAGCTCAGTAGTTGTGGCTCATGGGCTCTAGAGCGCAGGCTCAGTAGTTGTGGCGCACGGGCTTAGTTGCTCCGCGGCATGTGGGATCTTCCCGGGCCAGGGATGGAACCCGTGTCCCCTGCATTGGCAGGGGGATTCTCAACCACTGCGCTGCTAGGGAAATCCAAGAAAATGTGACTTTTAAGAGAGTTAAAGTCTTAATGAGGTTGTGGAACAGACGTAGAGGAACTGTGAAATCAAGAAAGCTGAAAAGATGGGGCGGGGGCGGTGCTGGTGAGAGAATATCACAGAGTGAATAATTAAAGAGGGAACAGAGTTTGGGTGGCCATGAATGTGACTGGCCAAAGCAGAGTAGAGGTGAAGATCATTAAAGTGAGTAAGGCGAGGCGTTGGATGGACATTATAGTCACCCAGGGTCTTGGATTGGATATTAAGACTTTAAACCACGTGCCAAAGTCTTTGTTGGATGAAAGGGGGGTCACTGGGTTTACAGCCGTTCGCAGGGGAAAATGGGGTATAGTTAAACAGTGCAAGCCTCAAACGAGAGCATGCGCTATAGGACAGTGAAGAAATAGTATTTTTTAAAGTGATAATGAAGAAAGCTAGCCAGTGAGTCCTGAGACAGTATGATTTTCTTTTTTTTTTTTAAGTGCCCGCACTTCAGTAAACATTAGGAGACACAGGGAAGAGCCCAGGTGCAGCTAAGGTGGAAATCAGGGGAAGGCAGCTCTCTCCCAAGATGAGAATCACAAGAGGGTTTTGGTTTGTTTGGCTTGGTTCAGGTTTGTTATTTAATTTGGTTTTAGCCATTCACACAAGCATATTTGAAGAATATATGTTTCTGAAGATAGTTATAAGATGACATTTTCAGGAATAGTAATTGAAATGTCTTCAGTTCCAGAAAGACAGGTATTCTTAATCACCGTCCCTGTTCTGTGGGTTTGTTTTTTGGCATGAATAAAGTTGTCATGAGTGCATCTTCCAGAGAAGTAAAAGTTCAAGTGTAAGATCTGAGATGAATTGTGAGGTTCTCAAAAAGGCTTATACCTATGCTAGACCCATATGCTTGCTGAGAAAGTAGCCACTGGCCTTGAAAGAAATCAGTTGTATTGACTTTGTTATGCTGGCACTGAGAAAGCACAGAACAGACTCTTTTGAATAACGGGAACCTTGCTGGACACTTCAGTATCACAGAAGGGAGTTAGGGCCATTTCTTTGACAGAAATGGAAATATTTTTCTTACCAGACAATTCCATCATCATTGGAAAACACTAAGACAGAATTTAAGAAGGAACAGACATACACAACACACATTTATCATAGTTATGTCACTAAAGAGTAAATTAAATGTGGCTGTTGATTATTATCAGTTGGTTAGGGATTTAGGGATTGAAGTGACATTTCTGCAGATACGAGCAGTGACCCATGCGGTAAAGTCCTTGTGTGGCAGAAATGTGAGGTTGGGGACGCTTATACCTTTTGCTTTCTCAAAGTGTGGTTTACTCTTTTATGCTACCTGTCACTTCTAGCTTAAACGTTGTCCAGGAAATTCACCAACACTGAACAAAGAACCGGCTCCCAGACTTGGGTTTTATCCTTCCTGCTCTGAAATTGACTTTCCTTGAGGCAGTGTCCTGAAATGACTTGTCCTGCCCTGGCTAAATGGTAGTAATTTGTGTTTAACTCCAGCAGTTTATCAAGCGAGCTCATTTTATGCCATGTCAGTGTCTAGAGTGACATAGCTACAATAGGACAGGGAAGTGGATTTTTCTACATTTATTTCCACTTCATGTGAAGCATGATTTTGCATACTGACAAGTAAGTGTTATAGGTGTAAGGGAAAAGGATAGCAACCACCATATTATTTTGCAAATAATGGTATACAAATGGTATCCAAAAATGCCGAGAAAGATAACAGTGCATGTTATAATGTTCCTGTCAAATAATGGCAAAGCTTTAATCAACGGATATACAGACACACTCAGGATTGAAATGCAGCTTCCAAGGTTGAAACATGGCAAGTGGTTCATTGAACACCGCACAGAAGGTAAATGAACTGTGTATTTTCCGATCACAATTGGAATTTTAAGTGAGTGGAATGGAATAAACTCAGTTTGGAATTTGAAATAAATTCAGTTTGGAATGTGTCTTAGAGACCAAGGTTTACACAAGAGCTACACAAACCTCTCAGCATGGAACATGACACAAGGTGAAATTTTCCTGGCATCTTAGAAGAGCCAGATATGGATTTCTGCAGGACCAGGGCACAGGCAATTGGTCCAGAGCTATTTGTTCCTGCTTGGGGAAGGAAACATAGACACTTATTTAATACCCTGGGGTGGGAGTGACAGTCCATCTGGTGGATGGAGTTGTGTATGTTTTCTCAGAAGACGCTATTTTTAGCTTGGTGTTACCAATAAAATATTTTCATCCTATTTCCATTTTTCTTTCTGTCGATGCCTACTTCAGTAGTTCTAAGTGACTTTATCTATCACACATAGTAAAACTAGTTAGAAAAAAAGAGAAGTGTCTGGAGAGAACACAAGAATCAACTTGCGGTAATTCAGAAGTAACCACCAGCAGCAATTTCCCTGTCTTGTTGCCAAAGCAGTTTTCTCAAACTATAGATTCTCATGAGCCCGTAACTTTGCAGGGGAGTCGTAAAGGAGACTAGACTTTGCATGCAAAACTGAAGAAGCAATTGGTAACTAACAGTACATCTTTTTTCTAAGGTAAGTTTAAGTCACAAAAAAGACTTAATCTGCAGAGGAGAAAAACCTACGTATTTCTTAGGAGTTTAGAAATACTGGGTTGGTTAGGGCTCCAGGGAAATGCAAGGTGCTAGACTTCAAAAAAGACATCATCTGTAGATTGACACACTGGAAAAGGCGGATGACTCCAAGAAAATGGAGAAAATAAAAAGAGCACGGGGCTGTGGATTAGAGGTTCATAGTTAGAGTTCAGGGGTTTCGGAAGTGAAATGATGAAGTGCGTGAGCTTCAGGAATGCGGGATAATCAGGTTTGATGGATTGCTTGTTCTGAGTTTATAGTTGTTTGGAGGGATGGAATTATTCCCTTGTACTGCATGTTACATTTTCCACTAAACCATATTTCCATTCAGCAGTAGCTTGGGATTATTTGGCCCTCGTTTGCATTCAGGGAAAATCAAGATAATGCCCTAGAATTTAGCAAATATTTGTTTTCCTGGCAGTGACAGACTTGCCAGTATTACTCTTTCGGGGGGCAGATGTACAGTGTTTATAGTTTCCACTGCTTGGAGCTTTCTATACATTTATCCTTGGATTAGACTCAAAGTAAGCTGATTTTAGCGAGCCACTGGGTAATTCTGACCATTTCATCTGGCGATTTTAGTCCTGTATTGTTGCAGCTGACCTGTAGACGTAAGGAATTACTGGGTCAGCAGCTCACGGAAATGTCTTTTGATTATGAGCACACTTTCAACATGTGTCCGCTGAAGGTAAGGGGGAGAATATTGCATGATCTACTTGAATGCCAATTTTAGTTAAATAAAAGTGGGATTTCAGGCATGGCCTAGTTGTATCTTCTTAAATTTAAGTAGTTGTTCAGCAATTCTGTGTAAAACAAGAGGTCTTTGAAGAACTGAACACTCGGATGAAGCAACCGTGCCCTTCAAGCCACATCCTTCCTGCTGCCTGTGGGAAAGAGGAGGTGTTTGTGTTGGGCTCTGAGCACATGCAGAATAGATCTGTGTGTATTTCCACAAATAAAAGGACATTGTGTGTGTGTTTGGCACCTGTCATGGCAAGAGCAGTTGATTGCTTCCTAAAGTTTTGTTCCAACTCCAGGATCAGCAGGATTTTTAAACACTGAACTAGGAACTAGGCACTAAAAATACATACACAGGAGACCTATGATAGCATTAAGTTTCGGAAGCAAGGCGAAGACCTGCAAACTGTGTTAGAGCTGTGTCATTACTCTCCTTATTATGGTTCAGGGGAAGGGATTTGACAGGCTGTGTATCCAACCTGCAGACTAATGAGCCATGCTGTAGTAGCGATTTGAGGTAATGCTTATTGTTTCAGTGAAGATGATCCAGAATGTATAGAACGTGAGCATGTAGTTTGCTAAAACTGGAAACTTTGCCCTGTTTTCTTTGCTTATGTTATTCATATTGGGTTTCATAGAGCCACTGGCAACTCATGATCTTGTCATTTATTCAGAGACAGAGGAGCACCCAATCAAAAAAAAAGTTTAAGATAGAATAAAAGTTATATTACAAATTAAGCTTGGATCATTAAAATGAAACAGTAATTCTCTAATGCCACTTGGCTCCAGTTTTCTCAGGGCAAAAAACTCGGGACTTTTACGTGTTGCAAATAGTTACCAAGTGAACAAAGAGCTCAGTGTGATGTTTTAAATATGCCTGGTATTTCCAAATGCTTACTCCCAGGTCTTCCAGGGTTTTGTCTGTAGAGATATGGGAAATTTGAGTGTTTTTTTTTCTCTTTTAGATTTTCTCTTACTTGATTCTCAAGAGCTTTTACTCTATAAAAGTTCATGAACAGGCAGGATTTAAAGAGAAAACAAAGTCTTATGAAATTCACGTTGGAAATCATGAGTATTGTATTTGATCCTTACATCAAAGTGGTCACCTCCTTGAATATAATGAAAATAAAGATAAGTGTCATCCCCTTAGGTGTTTTCAAAGGCACTTTTTTCAATGTGAATTAAATTTCCCTCTTGAAATATCTATGGCAGGGAGTGATTGTGTTGGAGGCAGTATGCATTTTTAAATTTTATTTTTGTTTTATTTACACTCAACTGAAATAGATTTGAGAAGGATATATATTTATTTAAGGAAGGAGCTCCATCAATTATTATAATATGGGAATTATATATTGTGAATTTTTAAATAATGATAATTTTATTCAGGTGATCCAATTAAAGGAGCACCCTTTTGAAGAACTGGGAATATGTCAAAAGCCCAAACTCCATGCTGTGTAAGGATGTCTGTTTCTCAGAAAACCCAGTGTGTTTCAGTTCTCAGAACAGATACTATAAAAGACTCCCTGTATAATTCGGTGAGTGAAATTCTCTTCAAAGAGAATGCTGCATACAGAAGATGAGGTTAGTGATAGGTGAGAAAGGAATGTCTTTCTCCAGCTCACCTTACAGTAGGACCACCATTCCCCCCAGCTCAGATAGCTCTACTAAGATCGTAATCCCAGAGATTTCATGATCAAGTGGGAAGAACCACGTTTAAATGATAGGCCTGGCATTTAACATTAAGAATGGCATTTTATTGAGTAATCATTAATGGTTTCAGGGCTTCTAAAACACAATAATGTGTAACCCATGAACGATATAAATACATTTCATTAACAGGCAGTACAAAGTTTCCAACTGAAAGTAACTCAGAATGGGAGTTTATATTTTAATGAAGGTCAGAAAAAGTACCCTCGTAACAGATTAAAAAGAATGAGAAAAATCTTTTACATATTGTCAGTTCAAATAAAGAACATTTCATTGAAATGATTCCTACATTGAAAATTCATCATGGAATAATCAATGTGTTCTCTTTGTACTGTATGGGAAATACAAAAGAAGTGTTATATAATCTGGTAGGAGATTATATGCACTCATTTGTGTTATATGCACCTGCGAAACAATTGGAGAAAAATGCAAACAAGACCAAAGAAACATAAAATTGTAGCATGAAAAAGTAAATGTTCCAGAAGGTGAGGGAAGGGAAAGGAGTTGATGTGGTAGATTTCCAGGACAGTGAGGTATTTTTAAGAAGGACCTTGAAAATGGGTAAAATTTGTACCCTCAACAAAAGGTAGGGAAAAGTATTCCAGACGATGAAATCCTAAAAGAAAATGAAAAAAATAATTATTTACCCAGTTCTCATTCAGCTTTTGGTTCAAGGGATAAGCATTTAGAAACAGTGCAACTTATTTGATCTTCTCCTGCATAAATTGTTCAATTTCTTTAATGTTCCAGCCAAAGTCTGTGAAGCAGTTTAACCACTTGATTTTGCCAGGCGATTTATAAAGATGTAGTCACCTGGAAAATGCTAAAAGGATTGACTGAAACCAGTTTTCTTCTACTCTTGTGAAATATGCCTTTGTTTCAGTCAGGTTGACGTGATAGCTAAGGAAACAAAGAGAACCCACGGGACACGTTTCTTAGCGCCCCGTGGCCATGTGGGCCTAACCACTCAGATGTACCTAGTTGGCTGCACAAACAGATATCATTGCTATATGCCCCCTCCCCAATTTAAGTATTATTTTTACCAAATGAAAAATCTTTCCTCTCGCAGTTTAATAGTAAAAAGGACACAAATGACAATATCTGAAGATGTAGATTCTAGTCCTGTAGTTATTCCTATTTGTGACTTTGGTCAAGTCAGTTGCCTTATTTTCATCTTAGTTTTCACTCATTGAGTTACTGTTCATTAAGCACACTGAGCAATACAAATGCCTCGTCTGCAATGCAAGTATACTGGAGTTAAGAATCTTCAATATTTAAACTATTAAAGATAACTTTAATGTACAAATAGTACATGTCATTTAGAACTAAACCAACATATGCAAGAGTTGCATTTATGATGATCATTCAAGTGAATTATAAGCCTGGAAAAGCTATGCACTTTTTTAAGAACACAATTCATAAACACAATTGTGCTGTGTTGAGTCCCACATTTCTTTTTCGTGAGTTTCTTAAGTACATTCCAGTGTAGATATAGAGCAGATATCACTTAAGAGATTATAAAATGTTAAAAGGGAAATAAAATTCAAACTAGGTTTGGTTGATTGTGTCATCACTGTAGTAATTTTTTTGATTAAAGCTTGATAGTTCCTTATTGAGAGAGATACATATAGAGAGAGAGAGAGAACCTAGATGAGCACTTGAAGTCAATGGAGACTTATGAATTTACTCAGTACCCTCTGCTTTCTATCTCTTATTTCCTCTGTGTAATCTGAAAAATATTGCTGAGTTGCAATGTCAGTGCTCTCTAAATCTGCTTTCATGAGAAAGAGGCCATTACTTCCATTTATGTAGCCATATACAAGGCATCATCACTCAGTTATTTACCAGAAATACCAAACACAGGAAACAGTTCCCTTCAGTAAGCATAAAACAGGGCCGAAGTCATTTCTAGAGGTGCTTTATTATGAGGATAAAATAGTTTTCTAAAGTATAATTGAATTATAGCTTTTATTGTTTTAATTTTAACGTCTTGTCAATATTTTTCTTTGAAAGATTAATAGTTTATATTGTCTTTTGACAGCAACGACATAAACAGAATTAGATTTTTTACTTTTTTGGGACTTGATATTTTCAACGTTATCTTTAAAGTGTATAATGGGTCACAAGGACTGGCAAGTTCAACAATTGGGCAAATGTTTATTAATCTCCCCTAATGTTATTGCTAAACTGTATTACCACAACTTACAATAATAGCTAACAGATACTGAACAATTCGTTTGTGCCAGACACAGCGTTTGGTGCTTTATATGCTGTAGCTCACTACACTAATCATGTGTAGGATGTCAACTGATTAAATATGATCCCTGTCCTTTGGGGTGAATTGTATGAAATGTTTCTAGAACTAGATTGGAAATTACTGTGGTCAGTGTGACTGACCCAGGGCTCATACAGCTCTTTTGTGGCCCCTTCTCTTCTCACCACTGAGCCCCTGTAGACTAGTAGCATTTTGCATCTTTAGAGCCCCAGCTTGGTTGAGTGCCGGATTGTGGAGCTTGACGAAAATCCAGGGACTTGCACTACAAAAAATCAGGAAACAAACTCCGTTTTATGAATGAGTATATTTGGGCCCTGAGTTGATAGTCACTGAAGCCAAGCTGTACAATCTCTGTTACTTTCAAATATAGTTGAAAACTTACAAATCTACCCTTTGTCTCTGTCCAAATCAATATTGACCAAGGCCCGAAGCCTTGCCTTTGTTGGCCATGTTGTAGATGCTGGAACAGTGGTCCACTTGGCAAGGATGTCAGCTTAGGAGGGCATGAGTACATTCCAGTTCTTATAACCCTCCCCGATTAACAGAAGCATGTCCTGAGCTCCTAGTGGAGTGTAGTGAGTGTTGATTCTCTTTCTCAAGTCGTTTGTTGATGAGACACATGGCAAAGCCCAAACAGTGCACCTCTGGGGCCAGCACTGAGAAAAAACAGTAATTTTTTGGAGTGTTCTTCAGATTGAGATATTTTATTATCACAAGATATTATAGTGGTTAAGAGTCATTTTGAGAAGTATGAATTAATGGGTTAAAGTCCAGACTTTGCCATGTATTTGATTGTGTGTGCTTTGGGAAGTTACTTAACCTCACTAGACTTTAGGTCCCTTACTTGTAGAATGTGTATACCAGTAGCGCTATCGTGCGGATTCAATGAACTTGTACAGTCAAGTGCTTAGCACAGTTCCTGGTGCAAAGAACACATTTAATAAATGCTGATGTTAGAATAGTTTATAATAATGGTTCACCAATCTGGCATTTTCTCCACATCGATGTTTTAAACATATCTCAAATAGAGCACCTTAATCTTCTTTCGGCATGCCGTATTTCAGCTTTTCACCAAATCATCTAAGCTAGAAATTCTAGTTGCTTCCTCTTTTTTCTCTTATCTCCCACATGCGATCAATGACCAAGACCTGATGATTTTACCATGTAAATATTCCTAAATTTTCTGCATTCTTATACCAGGGCCTTATTTCAGACCCTTGTCATCTCTGGACCTGATTACTAAAGCAGCCAATCACTTATTCGCTCATTTAATCTTGCCTAATAACCCCTCGTCACTCCCTCCCCAGCAGTGTTCTACAGCGCATGCTCCCGATGGCACGCTTCCCATCACCTGTAAATGTAAGCTGAGCGTTTAAGGGTAGCATCTTCGTTGATCTGGCTGCTGCTTCCCTCTCTAACTTAATTTCCTTCCTCAACATGCTTTGCACTTTGGAAGTTACCTAGGAAATGATTTTTTGAAAATAATTTTGCTATTAGAAAAATTCTAGCTTTATCATTGTCTGGAGAATAATGGCACTGTATTTTCTTTGCTTTTGTGGTATAATGCTAGTATACTTTACCAAGTGATGGGGCCGTTTTTCTACCATCGTAACAGTTAAATTGAAGCTTGGAAAATGGATATTAAGTAAGAACCTAAAGTCAATAAATTATTGATAATTTGTTGGCAAAATACTATAAATTCAATGAATACACATATTAGGTAGAAATATACATATATAAACTAAAATCGAATATATGTTTACTTAAAATGGATGCAGATATACAAGAGTATACATGTGTTTATATACTAGAATAATTCCACCCTCTGCAACCTGATGTGCTTTTTGTTTCTTGTCACTAGACATGCCAGTTGTTTCTATGGACGTTCATACTTTTCATGCCAAATGTCTCACTGCATAAATTAAGATGATATAGTTGCCTCACCTATTAGGTTTTAAGCTTCTTGACAACAGGGAAACTCTTACAAGTGTGAATCCCTACTGTGCTTAGAAAAGGCAAAACACTCTGTAACCAGTCTGTGAATACTTGTTGATTGGCTGTTTGAGGGTCAGATCATGAATTTTGAATTATTTACCCAACAATAATGAGAGTTCTGCTGTCTGGCTAAATAGCTTAGACAGACTCCTTGCCCTAAAATCCAGCCTGGAATTTGCAAACTATTTCAAGGGAGGAAAGGTGAAGTGGGTTAAAATAAAAATGGTTGCTGGCTTGAATTCAAATGAGGAACAGTACAGTCTGATTCTTGAGATGTGCACATTTTCCCCTTTTTAAAATTTATTAAACTTTTCCATACTCCCATATTCTGACACAGGAGTCAGCAAACCAGGGCCCTCAAGCAAAATGTGCCCCACTGACTGTTTTTTAAATGAAGTTTTATTGGAACACAGCCATGCTCATCCGTTTGCACAGATAGAATAGAAACTCTCAGATCCTTTAATGGAAGTTTGCTAACTCCTGATCTAGCATATTAGCTCTTCTAATTTTTTTGTCTAGAGTTACTTATATTAATATGTAATTTTGGTACATTGTGAGTGGTTATATGTTTTATCTGTGTATTATAAATAATGTTCATCTTGGCACTGAACTTTTGAATAAAAAATAATGGTAAATTAGTTCCCTGATGGTCTAGTGGTTAGGATTCAGCGCTTTCACTGCCAAGGGCGTGAGTTCAGTCCCTGGTGGGGGACCTAGGATTCCCGCAGGCCACAGGGCACGGCCAGAAAAAATAAAAATAAATGGTAAATTCATAATACCCATGGAGTTCATGTGCCCTGTATTACTAAACTAGACCCCATTTGTTGGACATTTAGTTTTTTTCTATTATATTTTGACTGATTTTGATTTACCTTTTTAAAAATATGACTACCATAGACTTCAAAGTATAAAGTATTAATGTAACTCCTGTATCTAGAGAGGTTTACCAGGTGGTTTACCGGGTTTGGGGAGATAGAACTCACCTTTATGGCCTCAACAATTACTTTCCTGATTATCTACGAGATATATGGTGATATTTAGTGGACAAAACACTGGCTTGAAGTCAATGGGGAGTAATTCTGTGTTCCATTGAGCATAAAGTCCTGTACAGTCTCTATTTTAGTTTTCCTCTGTGAAAACAGACACGACAATAAATGCCTTATGGAACCAACTCCAAGAAATGATGCACTGATGAAACTGTGTGTTTGTGAATAAATAAGACTGATTTATTTACTTTTATGATGTCAGCATCTCACAGTGCGTAACAGATAGCAGTGCTTATTAGATATTTATCATCTGAATTAATGATGCAGTAGAGAATTGTAGATGTTCTGGAAGGCTACCAGAATAGTAGTTAAGCGTGTCGCCTCTAGAGAGTTAGCAACCCTGGGTTTGGATACTGGCTCCGCCACTCACTACCCCCATCACTTTACACGCATTAGTTAAACTCTAAGCCACAGTTTTGGCACCCGTACGATAAGTATAATAACAGTACCTATGCCACAGAGTTACTGTGAAGATCAAATGGTAAAATCCAAATATAGCACTAACAATGTACTTATTAGCACATGGACACCTCTCTGTGTACGTAAGTTATTATCATGTACTAGTATGAATCTCAAGTGAAGAGGTATAGCGTGTTTTGAAGGTAATTCTTCCTGGAAGGTCTTCATCTTCTGTTTGGATATCATTGTTATTCTGAGGAGCCTGGACCTGACCCCAAAAGAATGAATATTAAAATCTTCTCTCATTTCAAAAATGTCAGTTTCATAATTTCTTTGCCAATTGAGCCCTCGACAGGGAGGCACTCTCTCTGACCTCTTTTTGGTATTACCAATGGTTTAAAAGTCTCTATTAAATTTTAAAAAGCTCTTGTGCTACTTCTCCTTGATGCTTATTATAGGTTTGGAATCGTGTGCTATAAAAAGTATTTGGCTGTATGTGCTTGTATAATGGAAGTAATTTAATTGGGCACTCTGCCTCCACAGATCAGCAAGGGTCAAATGACTTTTTTAAGAGTATGTGAGAGAAGTATTACAGAAGCGGGGAGAAAAGAGAGAGAAAAAAAAAACACCTCATCATTTGCTTTCAGCCCTGAATTGTTCATGCTTCATTAAGGCCATTGGTGAGTCTCCCAGGCTGTATATTTGCAAACCTGCTCCACAGACAGACAAGCTCTCCACGTGTGTGCTCCTAGAGCTAATCACCTCACATCTGTTTAGTTTCTATCTGCACAATTTGAAAATCCTGGGACACGGGCACCTCAAACACGCTGCACCTAATATACTTACGCACTATTTTGTCAGGAATTCTTGCTGCCTTCGAAGTTTCCTTACTGAACTTCTCCAGGATTACACTTGTCACTTTGGAAGAGTACAAGAAAAAAGATACCTTTCTTAAAAAGGGGATAGATGACCCAACCAAGTTCATCTACATAACTTACTTCCTTTTCACACAATGTCAGCAGAATTAGAGTTAACCGCCTCTCTGACTTTTTTTTTTTGCGGTGCGCGGGCCTCTCACTGTTGTGGCCTCTCCCGTTGCAGAGCACAGGCTCCGGACGTGCAGGCTCAGCGGCCATGGCTCACGCGCCCAGCCGCCCCGCGGCACGTGGGATCTTCCCGCCCAGCCGCCCCGCGACACGTGGGATCTTCCCGGACCGGGGCACGAACCCGTGTCCCCTGCATCGGCAGGCGGACTCTCAACCGCTGTGCCACCAGGGAAGCCCTCTCTGCCTTTTTCTGATAAAGGTTTCCTGTCTAAGTGGAAGAAACAGCTTGCCTCTTTCCGAACATACACACACTCATGTCACCCCCCACTGAGAGAAGCGGAAATTGGTGGTCAGGGTTACAGGCCATTTGAATGAGATTAGGATAGAAGAGATTGCGACCTTAGGGGGCCTGGCAGAAATCCTGAGTTTCTGATTTATGCAACATTAGGATATATGCATGTTGTGGCCAACTCTCTGGTAAACGAGGTACTGTAGGTACAATGATTAGGGGAGAAAACGAAATCTCCTAGAAAACCCCACGTCCATCTGTCAGTATTCCTGACTCAGTTTGGTTGAACGAGTCTTTTAGATCTTTCAATCTTTGTCCCCTGTTTTGTAAGTTCACGATAGTAGTTTGGTTATGTGTTATGTAGATAATTTTTTTCAAAATAATTAAAATAGAGTACATTGATAAGTCTTTATAGAAAATGAAGCAGAAATGTTTTATTCCCTTGTAGCTGATGGTATTGCAATTAATGGAATAACTTCATCCTTCCCCTTTAGGATATTCCCAAATCAGAATGGAAATTTGGGCACAAAGTCTCTGTTTTTCATTCTAAATTTGACTCAGAGGTCTATCTTTCATAAGCAGGCAGGTCTCCATTGTGCGCACACACACACACACACACACATACATGCATACATACACACTTATTTGTATCCTTTGACCCACCAAAAGGACTGTCACTGCTATAGATAAAACCAACACAGGTTCATTCATTCAGTTCTTCATTTGGAGTGTTTTGAGTACTCATCGTGTTTAAGGTGTTGTCTAGATCAGCAGTTCTCCAAGTGTGGTCTGTTGAGATGGTTTTTGTTTTTTGGGTTTTTTTCAAGACTCTTCCAGAAGGGAGTACACCGGGTCAGAACTCTTTAAAATATTAAGATGATACTCTGTGGACATTTGCACTGATGATGTAAAAACAATAGTAAATAAAACTGCTGGTTCCTTAGCAGGAATCAAGTTAGGGATACAAAGCTACCAGTCACTGTAGTCTTCAGCACCCCTTGCCCACACAGATTTCACTTAAGAATGTTTGAGATGAAGCAGTTAAAAAATAAAAGCCAACTATTTTGTTAAATCTCTATCCTTGAGGACACGTCATTTTAATATTCTCTGTGCACAGTGTGAAATATGCATAAATTTCTGTCTCATACTGAAGAATGATGTTCGGCTTAAAAAAAAAACACGTGCTTGTTTCAGACACAAGCTGAACAAACCACTTTTTTCATGGAACACCATTTGTATTTGAAAGAACAGCTAACAGATAAATTCTGCTTATTCAGACTTGAATATTTTGCAGATATTTTCTTTAAAATGAATGAAATGAGCTGTGAGTTAAAGAAAAATAGTTGACAGTACTTGTTGACAATGGTAACTTTTAACCTTTCAAGTAAAAATTTAAATTTTCAAAAAATGTTATCCACCACATGAGTTTGACAGCTTTATAATATTTTAAAAGTTTGAGACAGGTGTAATGAGACCAGTGATATTAATTAATGTGACTATTTTGTATTGCAAAACACATGTTGAAATCTGGAAGATCTACGTAAGTCAGTGAACCAATGCTTTTTTTAAAAAATGCAAGATGGTACAGAATTATGCATTGGTAAAAGATTCATTCAAAATACAGTGGATTTTAATATAACATTGTGTGAAAAGTGTGGTTTTAGATTTCACATTGCATTTCATGTTTAAGAAACGACTACTGTTGAGTTTGGGTGTATTTTCAAAGTAAAATATCCATAATTATCTGAAATAAAAGTATTAAAATAATATTCTCCTTCTAACTATGTAATCTGTATGAACCCTGATTCTCTTCATGTATATCAACCAAAACTATTAATATATATCTCATTAACAAATTCAGAAACAGAAACAAGAATCTGTCTTCTGTAAAGCCAGACATAAATGCAATCTGCAAAAATGTAAAACAGTACTCCTCCTACTAAGTTTTTGTTCTAGAAAATACAGCCACTTTTCAACAAAAATATGTTATCTGTGTTAGCATGTGATTGGCTTGTTATTATTTTTAAATTATCAGTTTTAACTTCCAATATGGTAAATACTGTTATGTATAGCCCCATAAACAAATGGTCTTTCGTGTACCCGATAATTTTAATAGTGTAAAGAGGAGTTGAGACCAAGAATTTTGAGAACCAGTGTTTTAGACATGGAAATGCAGAATCAAAGACACATAGTCGCTACCTTCACAGTTTAATAGAGGAAGCAGAACAAGCAATACAGCTATTATATTTCGTGCAATATTGAAAGAGAAATTTGTAAGGAGACCATGAGAAGGCAGAGGCAGGACTTCTCACTCACAGGTGGGACAGGAAAGGCTTCTTGAAAGAAATATCACTGTATCTGAGCCTTAAAGTTCCTCTGAATCTTGATGTTTGTCTGAATCTTGAAGACCAAATACACATTAGGCCAGGAAGGAGAGAGTGGGCATTCTTGTAGAGAGAACAGTCCATTCAGAGGAACTGATGATAAGAGCACAGTTTTCTGGAGACTGCAAATTTAGGTTGCGTGAGTGCTGAGTGTGCTGAGACGGGTGCTGAGACGAGAGCAATAGAAGTTGGCCGTGGTTCCGACTGTGGTGAGAGCAATTGAAAGATTCCCCTGGTGGAAGGATAAACTTCACAGTGGTGTGGATGCTCACGTGGGCATTAGGAAAGACTGGCTTAGGGAGAAGTAATTTAGGACTCCGTTGCAATAGTCTGAAGAAGGATTGATAAAAGCCTGTACTAAGGCAGTAGCGTGGCAGGGGTGGGGAGAATGAAGGAGTGGATTTGAGCAATGTTAACGAGGTCATGTTTATAGTACTTGGTAGTCAAGCCAGCTGAATGCAGAGGAGGATAAAGAATGTGGAAAATATAACTAAGTTTTTAGGCTTAGGTGGTTGCACAGCAATAATGCCATTCTTTGAGTGAGAGAAAAAAAGGAGGGAAAACATTGGGGAAGGGTGGTGTTGATAAATATACTTTAATATTTTGAGCCGTATATGACTGTGGATCAGCAGTTGGAGAGAGCCAGTGGGTAGCTGAATGTTTACATCTGTTAAGAGAAACACAGAGGCTAAAAATAGAGATGTGGGAGCTATCAGTATATAGATGTCAGCCAAATCCATGGGTCTGATACTGAGATCACTCAGACAGTGGGTACAGGATGAGCACAGAGCAGGTCTGAGGATATCAAAGTGGAAGAGATGAACAAGGCAAAAGGTATTATACTGCAAGTGATATTAGCTGTTGTAGTACATTTAGCCTTATTGGATATAGTTTTGTTTTCAACTTCAGTTAACCTAAGATTGAGATTAAGGAAGACCTCAGTTAGTGACTTATTCATAATTGAAGAATTCAACGATTGATTCTCTGTCACAGTTAGTTTGTATATGCCATTACTATTTTGCTATCTGTATGCATTCTTGCATGTGAGCGAGAATAAGTGTGGGGAGAAGGGGAGGGTGGCTTAGAGTGTAGTGAATGTGAATGTGTAGGGAAACTGTAATGCTTTCTAGTACAGATCTTCCCTTTTTAAATAGCTGGCAGCATTTAGATAATTGAAAACATTTTAATTTTGCTTTAGATTCAAATGCATCTTTGGCCAGTCATTTATGATCTATCATAAATAGCCATTAGAATTGTTCCCTCAAAAAACACTTGAAAATCCTTACTGCTGGCCTCAATGATTTGGCAAAAATGATGATCCAGAACTGGGAAAAAATTAACCAGTAATTAGACATTTGTGCTTGTGTTTTACATTTTTAAATGTCTATTAAACTGCTTTTTGAGGATTGTGGTTCTAGACTATAAAGAGCAAATGTAAACAATTAGGTTCAAACACGGTTGTTTAGCAACCTGTAAATTTCACTTCTAACTCAGAAGAATCTCTAGAAGATGCTCAGTGATACAGCCATGGGACACAGCTTGCTTGAGCAGAGGCCCTTCTTCCCTAAATTGGTACTTGGTCCGCCCTCTACCCACATACAGATGAAATTCAGTGATTCAGATGAAGCTGTTTAAAACATATCACATAATCACAATTAATATCTCATTTTGTTTGATTAATTGGGCTAAATTTATCCAAAAAGAGGAACAAATGTCATTTTAACGTTGCTTACATTCTTAGAAGTGTTGTTTTCCCTCCAGATGTCTCTATTGTCTACATGCCACTTTATTCAGTTAAGATTTTACAGCATCTTATCCTTTCACCTTCTGTTTTCCTGGTCACTTAATCCTGTTGACCAAATTCTTCTGTTCCCTGAGTTCTCCACCTGTTTAAGTTACCTTGCTGGGGCCTCTAGTTTCAAACCGTAGGACCAGCTACACCTCAGTCAGTCATGAGACAA